TTCCTCCCTCACCCCAGGGAGGGCATTTATCTATTCATGAGGAATTCACCTCCCATGATCCAAATACCTCCCATTAAGCTCTGCTGCCAGTGGAGGGATCAAACCAGACCGTGGTGGCTAGAAAGTCAAGGAACAAGGCACTGTCAGCATCTGGCAAGGGCTTTCCTGCTGTCATCCCATGGTGGAACGGCAGCAGGGAGATGCACCCACAGAAGACTAACTAATCCTCTTATAAGGAATCCATTCCCAAGATAATGAACTATAGCCAGTCTGTCAGAAGCATAGGTTGCAAGCTGGGAATTTCACTTGACATCACAAGTGGGGGGCAGTCTTGGGATGCAGTAGCATCAGACTTGAATGCGACTAGAAGACGTCCAGCTGGTGTCTGCTGCAGAATTGACTCATTGCTTGTTAGTGGGGAGAAACTCCCCGTTTGGCCACAGAAGTCTTCTCTGTTGACTGTTAAGGTGTGAAAGCAGAGGAGAAACAGGTTTTTTTTTTCTACACCTTCACATGCCACAGAACACAGAAGGTGTGGAGGGATGGAATGCAGAGGCCTCTGGTCCCCCAGACGAGCAACTTACTGTTAAGTTTATGATTGACTTAGAAAGATTTTTGAATAGGCACCCAATTTGTTTGCAATTTATAAACCCAAGATTTAAAGCAATGATTTCTTAGCCAGAATGATTTCTTGGATTTGTCATGGCTGGAAGTTGACTTCAGTGGGTTCTCCAGCCCCCAAGTCTCCCTCCTCTGTTGGGAACTGGGCAGATCACCAGGTCTCCCAGCCCCTTCCCTCACCAGCACCTTCCCACAGCAAGAGATCCTGGGGCTGCATTTTCAGATGAGACATTTTGCATTTTGTAGCTTAATTTGAACAGTGCTCATTTTTATTGGAAAACTGTTTTGCTTTTGATCGTGTGATTGAAAGATTCTATTCTTGTTTTTATTAACACCCTATACAACATGGTTTTGTGGGAATGGACATTTAATTTAATTAATTATTTTTGAGATAGAATCTCACTCTGTTGTCCAGGCAGTGACGTAATCTTGGCTCACTACAACCTCTGCATCCCAGGTTGAAGCAATTCTCCTGCCTCAGCCTCCTCAGTAGCTGGAATTACAGGTGCCCGCCACTATGCCTGGCTAATTTTTGTAGTTTTAGTAGAAGTGGGGTTTCACCGTATTGGCTAGGCTGGTCTCGAACTCTTGACCTTGTGATCCATCCACCTCAGCCTCCCAGTGCTGGGATTACAGGCGTGAGCCACTACATCTGGTCAGCATATTTGATTTTATATTGGAAGGCAGTGGGAGAATGGGTATCTGAATACAGGAAATCTTCACGAGCTCTTCTCCAGATACCCCTTCTTGGTAGAGAAGGATATCTGCCCTGCGGTCTCTGCTGGGGTTCGGGAAGGCAGCAGGAGGACACAGGTGGATATGGAGGGGTGAGAGGGAGCAGTGAGTGGCAGGCACAGCTCTGGGTGAGGAAGACACAGAGGAGCAACAGGGCCCTGTGGCCCCAGGCAAGCGGGCAAAGAGAAGGTGGAGTCTGGTGTGGCCATCAAGCTGGAGGGCAAAGAGAAGGTGGAGTCTACAAGCCAGCCCTGTGTAAGTTTAAACCCTTCCCTGTGCCCTGCATCCTGTTTACCCAGGTTGGGTGGACACCAAGGGAGGGCTTTTTGCCCTGTGGGCTTGCACCCTATCATCATGGGCAAGGCTATATGTGCAATTCCAGAAATAGAACTTTCAGCTCTGGAAGGCTGTAGGATTATCTGTTGACTTTGATGAAAAGATGGGCCAGAGAAAGGCAATACCTCCATTCTCACAGATGCGGTATGTGTGCATGTGTGTGCGTACATGTTCCCTGCAAGGGACCCAGGCTGGAATCTGCAGGTGCTTAAGTGACTCACCAAGCACAGTGCAGCTTATTTTCCCAGTCTAATCAGAGCATCCCAGGGCCTGACCCATTCCCTGGTGAGCAAGACCACTGCAGGCCACAGTGTTGGGCCCTCAACTTGTGGGATCTGATGCTTGGTGAACGGTGGTGCCATCTAGAGGCATGTTAGAGAGCATTTTCTGGGAGTCTGCGAGTTTGTAGCAGGGGCTGGCACCTACTCCAACTCAGCATATTGGTACAGTTTTCCAGACACAAAGCCCCATGAGAGGCTGCCTTCTCCCCTGCAGGAGGGCACCTGGCAGACTAGTAGCTGCCTGGGCACGGGCCCCCAGGACCAGCTCCAAGAGGCACTGCTGCCTCACTAGCCTCTGAATCTTAGGCTCAGTTGATCCTCCTGCCTCAGCCTCCTCAGTAGCTGGGATTACAGGCATGCAGTATCATGCCTAATTAAAATTTTTTTTTTTTTTTTTTGTAGAGACAGAGTGTTGCCATGTTGACCAGGCTGGTTTCAAACTCCTGGCCTCAACCCTTCTTCCAGCTTTAGTTTCCCAGAGTACTGAGATTACAGGCATGGGCTGCTGCACCTGGCCACTGCTCCCTGTGCTATTGGAATTCACTCTGCAGGCAGGAGGGTGGGAGAGTCACTCCTAGACTTATGCCCCCACCCCTCCTTTTCTGGGCCTCCATGTCTTCTGTGGATAGTAAGGCAACTCAGAAGAGTGGGCATATAATTTCTGAACACTTGGGAAGATGTCCTGTCTCTTGACTGTCAAAGAAATGTATATAAAAATAACCAAGTGATATTTTAATATTAAAATTAATTAACTGGCACTATAAATTGGCATCCTTTCAAAAAGGCATAAAATGCTCATGTCCTTTGACCCCAGTCATCTCACTCTGACAAGTTTAGCCTGAGGAAATAATCCAAGAAAGGGAAAGAGCAGTGGCCAGGGATGTTCCCAGTATTTCATGAAAACAGGAGGTAGAAGCCTAAATGCCTTGACGGGTGGTCAAGTAGGCCCATTTTATGGAATATTAGTATTGCTGGTCATGGAGTCTTATAAGATGGAGTATGTGTGACACAGCATTAAAAGGATTTAAAACTGTCAGGACAGCAACTATATAAAAGTATGGGCTGGGCATGTTGGCTCCCACCTGTAATCCCAACACTTGGGGAGGCCGAGGCAAGAGGATTGTTTGAGGCCAGGAGTTCAAGACCAGCCTTGAACCAAACCAAAAAGTAAAGGTTCCTGTGCATACAGACCAGCAGGGACATGTGGAGATGGGCTGTAGTAGGGAGGTAGGATTAAGTTTCTTTTTCTTCGTTTTTTTTTTTTTTTTTTTTTTTAAATCTTACTGACAATTTCTATACCATTCAATTCACCCATTTAAAGCATACAATTCAGTCGTGTTTAGTATATTCACAGAATTGTTCAACTATTTCCACAGTCGGTTTCAGAGCATTTTTATTACCCCAGGAGATTCCACGTTCCCCATTTCCCCCTCTCCCCCAGACCTGAACAGCCACTAATACACTTTGTCTCTATGGGTTTGCCTACTGGGGACATTTCATTTAAGTGAAATCATAGTTTGTGGCCTTTTGTGTCTGGCTTCCCTCACCAAGCATGTTTTTAGGGTTCGTGCTGTACGGTATCACTGCTTCCTTTTTAAACCTGAGTAGTCTTCCATTGTGTGCACAGCCCAGTTTTGTTTATCCACTTTTTGTTGATGGACATTTGCGTTGTTTCCATTTTTTGGCTATTACAATCATGCTGCTGTGAACATTTGTGTACAGGTGTCTGTAGACATAGGTTTTTGTTTCTCTTGGGTAGATAACTAGTGGTGGAATTGCTGGGTCATCTAGTAACTCTACGTTTCACCTTTTGAGGAACTGCAAGATTGTTCCTCAAAAGGGAAACAGAAGCTGGCAGTTCCTGAAAAGGTTGGCAGGGGCTATCCAGCACCAGCACCACTGTACTGCGGGTTCCAGTTTCTCTACATAATGCCTAGTACTGTCTTTTTAAATTTTAGCCTTCATAGTAGATAGGAAGTAGCCTCCTTGTGGTTTTGGTTTTCATTTCCCTTATGAAAAGACGCTCAGTATTTTTTCATGTGCTTTTGGCCATTCTTCTTTTGAGAAGTCTTTGTTCAAATCCTTTGCTCATTTTAAAAATTAGGTTGTCTTTCTGTTGAGTTGAAAGTTCTTTATATGTTCTTAATATAAGTCCTTTGCCAGATATATGAATTATAAAATGTGATGGTGTCCTTTGAAGCACAGGAGTTTTTCATTCTGATGACATCCAGTTTAAATTTTCTTTCTTTTGTTGGTTTGCTTTTGGTGTTATAGCTAAGAAGCCACTGTCTAATCAAAGGTCATAAAGACTGATTCCTGCATTTCCTTTTAAGAGCTTTTTGATACCTGTCTTTCAGTTTTTCAGACTGCCGTGTTACTTTATTGTCAACCCCGAGAGCTTGCACTTGGTTCCTCTGGCCCTGTTCCTGATTTGTTAAATTTCATATTCAAACTTATGTGCCCTCCATCCCCTGTGGGTCCTGGGCTCTCTGGGAAACGTTCCTTTCCCTGTATCCTTTTGTTCCCTTGAAATTGATTTCATCTCATTTTATTACTTTCAGCAAAGGTAACTGAACTCCACTTCGCAAGCGCTTTATGATGCTAAGTAAAAGCAAAAGCTTCCCAGCTTTCTGAGCTGTGCTCAGGGAGTTTGGTGACAGAAATGAGGGAAAAGGTTTTACTTGACTCTTCTTCCTTCCCACCACCCTCCAAACAAACCAGAAAGCCATAGGCCAGAGAGCACAGCGTGCCTGGCAGTCCTCATGCATGGGACCTCAGACCTGGTGGGAGGGGATGCAGAGGGCCCAGCTGTGGCCCTTGGATGACAACAGTCTTGGGCAAGGGAAGAAGCAGACCTGTGACAGGGCTGGTGGTTGGGTATGTGGATGGCGTGGGGTGGCAGCCAGGGAGAAGCTCAATATGTGGGGAGGGGTGGAACTGCATGGTGTGCCCAGGTCCTGGGCCCAGCCCTGGCTCAGCAGCCCCTGCTTCATGCTGAGGGCCCTGCCTTTCCTTCCCCTGAAACAGCTCCCAGAGCACCGCCTGTTCCCTGTCTGTCCAGGCCAGCAGCTGGAGTCTCACCTCCCTCTCTTCTCTGAGTAGCAGGGATTTGAGGTAAGAAATCCCCCAGAATCCCTATTCACAGCCCACAGCAGCCTCTGGCAGAGATCGGTCCAGTGTCTTCTCCCTGGCTGCCTTAGTGCCCCCTAAACATTTGGGGAGGGGAGGTGCTTGGTGCCAAACTGCTGTTTGTGTGGTGAGTGATGAGTTAGGCTCCCTGGGGGACCTTACCTCGATAGGCCCTGTTTCCTGGTTCTGTCCTTGCCCTCCAGCAGGTGACCGCTGAGAGGTGAGGATGGTGGCTCTGGGCTGGGTGGCCCTGGGGAAGGTAGGGGATCCCCGCTGCCTGGAGGCAGCCCCTTCTGAGGATGGTCATATGCCTTGTCCAGCATCCCTCGGCCATCCCCAGGGCTGAAGGGGGAAGGAGCCTGGCTGGGAGCTTAGTTCATGTCTGGGATTTCCCTTTATGTCCAGGAGAAGCAGCGAAGATGTCCAACGAGCCACCCCCTCCTTATCCTGGGGGCCCCACAGCCCCACTTCTGGAGGAGAAAAGTGGAGCCCCGCCCACCCCAGGTAGGGGGTCACCGCTCCTGAGGCTCCCTGTTGCAGCCCCCTGCCCCCGTGGCGTGGTTGGGACTCTCTTAAGTGGTGATGCCTGCTCCAGGGTCATCCCTGGGCCCCATCTGTGTCCCAAAGCAGTGGCCTCTGGTCCAACTCATCATACAGAGACTACAGCTGAGTCTCCTTCTTTCTGCTTCTCTCTGTCCAGGCCGTTCCTCCCCAGCTGTGATGCAGCCCCCTCCAGGCATGCCACTGCCCCCTGCGGACATTGGCCCTCCACCCTATGAGCCTCCAGGTCACCCAATGCCTCAGCCTGGCTTCATGCCCCCACACATGAGTGCAGATGGCGCCTACATGCCTCCAGGTGAGTAGGGAAGGGATCTGAGGGGAGCATGGGGAGCTCCCGGCTGCCATCTGGGCTGCAGTGGCTGTCCTCAGTACAGGTGGGCATCTGCTATAGGGCAGGGACTCCAAACGCCCAACCCGCCCTGGCCTGGAGCTCAGGCCGTGTGTAGAGAGGGATTGTGGGTGTGGGAAGGTGGGACTGCTCTTACTTAGGCTGTTTGGGCAGGGCTGGTCCTTGGCACACCAGGACCTGACACTAGGCTTTACCTCCCTTGGTTGCGGGCTTAAGGCTGAATGCCCTGTCCCTGCATGTCAGAGACACCCAGGAGCAGAGGTACCGGGCCATGTGCCTGGCTCTCTGCCATATCTGTCAGGACCCCCAAGGGGTGGGGAACAGTAAGGGCTGGGAGAGTGGCCCCACTTGACTTGGGGCCCCAGCTGCAAGGCCTCCCACTGGCCCAGTAGGTGGGCAGTAGGAAGTTGAGGCCTAGCCTTGTACCCTGGGCACTGTGGACTGTAGGGCTTTGCCCCAATCTCTTTGTCTAGGGCAGGTGGCAGGCCAGTGACCTCTCTGTTCCATCTTCTTTGCCATTCCAGGTTTCTACCCTCCTCCAGGCCCCCATCCACCCATGGGCTACTACCCCCCAGGGCCGTACACACCAGGGCCCTACCCTGGCCCTGGGGGCCACACAGCCACAGTCCTGGTCCCTTCAGGAGCTGCCACCACGGTGACAGTGCTACAGGGAGAGATCTTTGAGGGTGCGCCCGTGCAGACAGTGTGTCCCCATTGCCAGCAGGCCATCACCACCAAGATCTCCTATGAGATTGGCTTGATGAACTTCGTGCTGGGTTTCTTCTGTTGCTTCATGGGGTAGGTGGTGTGGGCACTGGTAGGGTGGGAGCTGCACCAGGGTCAACTGGCTGCCTCTGCTTCCTCCACAGCAGGCCTCAGCCTGTTCTTCCCTGTCTCTGATTCAGATGTGATCTGGGCTGCTGCCTGATCCCCTGCCTCATCAATGACTTCAAGGATGTGACGCATACGTGCCCCAGCTGCAAAGCCTACATCTACACGTACAAGCGCCTGTGCTAACGGAGCTGGGACTCAGGACTCCCCCGCCTGTCAGTCTGGCCCCCTGTGCTTTGCTCCCTGCGCCTGGTGGTCACTTTCCCGCTCCCACTTGGGGCTGGGAGCTGTGCCACCATCCCCTAGAAGTCCTGTCCTCTTCACCTTGCCCTATCCTGAGCAGCTGACTTTTCTGGCAAAAATTCTGTTGGGATTTAAGGCCAAGGGTCAGTGGGTGGCAGGGGGCTAGCACTGAGCTTGTGGTGGTGTTGGTCTGCTTGGTGTTTGTGATCAGGAAGATAAATTGGGAGGGGTCTCCTGCTGGGGTCCTCATTCCTCCATTTCCAAACAAGGTACAGGTTCAGTCCAGACTCTTTCTCCCTGGGACCAAAAGCAGCTAGAGCAATGACCAGTTAGTTCCCTAGGCCTGTAGCCATGGTCGTTTCTGACCTGCTGGGTCAAGAATGGGTAAGTTGTGTGGAGTCAGGTAGACCCAGGTAGGACAGGGTCACAAAGCCTGGGTTTGTTTCTGGGTACTTTGTGCCTCTGGGGTGCTAGAGGTGGGGCATGGTGGTCGGAAGTAAAGACTGCCAACTCTGGCCCTCAGAACTCTCAGGTATAGAAACCCAGGATGTCTAATACCCTGTCCCAGTGCCCAAAAGCTGCCTGGTGTCAGATAAAGAGGACACTGTACCTGGGTGAGTGATCAGACCCTGGTAGCTAAAAAGGAACTTGTCCCTTTGAGTCAGTGTGCAGACCCCCTTTCTGGCCATGCTTCTGTGAACCCTTTATGCTGGGGCTGGAAGGAGCCCCTGAGCCTGGCCCCTTCCCGTCTGCCCTGTGTCCTCACTGTGTGTGGGTGTGAGCTCTGCCCAGTGGCTGATGTGTCCCAGCTGGTACAAGAGATGGCAGAGGGTTCCCCTTGTGAGTGCACTTGGATGTGAAGAGCCCTCTCCCTGAGTTTTCTTCCTAATAAGTGCAGGCCCCTCGCCCCAGCTGACAGGCTGTTGCTGTGCCTGCTCAGCAGGCACATTGGGCTGGGGGCAAGGAAGGTAGAACTGCCTGGGTGGATACCAGCCCTGCCCTGTCTTTATTTCCTGAATGGTTTGTTTGTGAACTTGCTCACCTGGACCGCTGTATCCTGCCACTGTCCTTCCTGGTCTCGCACTGCCACTGCATGGCCTCCTGTCACTGTGAATCGTGGCCCAGTCTCAGTTTGTAGTTCTCCTCATTAAATTGGCCCTTTCACTCTCCCGCCCTGGGCCTCTGCTCTCTTGCCTGGCTTCCTTCTTTTTTGAGGGAAAGAGGGTGGGACTGCAGTCAGTCTACTGGCAGGGCAGGAGGCTGAGTCCTCAGGGTCTCACATCCTTAGTGCTGATGCCATGCCAACTGCCCAGGACAACACCAACACGTAAGGACCTAATTAAACCAGACTAGAGTCGGGTATAGAACAACCCTAGGAATTCCAGCTGTGACTGGGCCAGGGCACATCTTGGCCTCGGCAGTGGCTGTAAGGTCATCTTCCTTCCTTTTATGCTGATTTCAACCATCTGCACACCACAGCATCCACACATGGGATCTGCAAGCTGGAGCCCTCCTACCTGCAGGCTTGAGCGCAGCAGCATCCAGCCCTGCACAGGCACACTCTTAAGCAAGACAGACTGAGCAGAAGCTGATAGGCTGAAGACTAACGGCACAGTATGCACAGCCAGGTTCTGAGCCAGCTCTGGCCCTGGTCGTCTCTGTACTAATTCATTTGAATTATGAAGGTGGCAGGCATGGTCAGTAGTTTAAAGAGTTTCCCTACCGTTTAACCCTTTTTGAAATAAAACTTTTACAGATAGTAGATTCTATTAATAAAAATATTTAAGTTCATGTTTCTTTTTAGACAATGACTTGTTTAAATACAAATATATGCTTTTTAAAACCCCTTTATATATAATATTTTAAACCCTTTATATATATATATATATATATATATAATATGTAATATTTTAAACCTTTTAAGTAGGAAATCTCCAAAGTATTTCTGAGCTAAAAAAATCACAGTGCTGGATACACTTTAAAGATCTTTGCAGGACGGTCAGATTGACTTTGCTTTGGAGATGAGGGGTGCTGGAGAGTAGACCAAGGGCAGGAGGTGGCTGCTGGGGGCCATCACGGAGGATGTCCACTCCCCACACAGACATAATATGCCCTTGCTTCTGAGGGACTCTCCTATGGGGAGGTGGCTTGACCCATCCTTTGCCAGGAGGGAGGGAAGGAGGCAGTTTGCAGAGCCCACTTTATTGAGTGCTGGAGCCTTTACACAGGGCGGAGGAAGAGAGAGGCTGGGGTTGCGAAGACCTCACCCAAGGGGTTAGAGGGATTCTGGGTAAGAAGGATAAGCTCCCAAGGCCTCTGAGGCTTCCGCCCACACCCACCCTCACCTCCAGGGTCCAAGAGAGGCCCAGAAGTTGAACAGTAGCATCCAGCAAGGCCCCCTCCCACAGCCTGGGCTTACCAGCCGCTCAACTCCAGCAGGGGGAGATAGTCATCCACATACTGCAAAAATAGGGACTACCGGAAGCAGCCTATGGCCCAGAGGTGTGGGAGGCTGCAGTAGAGCTGGGTCAGGGGGCCAGGCCTGCTGCACCGTGCCAGCTGCTCCCAGGGTGACAGCCTTCCTGTGCCCAGTGCAGAATCTGGCCCATAGAGAGGATGCTGTCAGGCAGAGGCTGTAGCATCTGGCTTTTATTGGTCGCCTGCTTTCTCAAACCCAGCATTTTTTAAAAAGTCACCTGAGGTGGTAGTTTAGTCAAGGGTGAAGAAAGGGGTAGGCCAGTGGTTGGTCGGGAGGAGGGTATCGGAGTGGCATGATGGGTCCTTCACAGGTAGTACCAGGCCAAGAATCCAGCAGCCAGGGCCACACCAGTGGCCAGGATGAACTGGAGGCTGGGCTTCCTCAGCACAGCCATGGCTGTTCGGAAGGGACAGCTGCTGGCCTCAAGGGCACCTGTGTGGCAGTACCAATAAAAGACATGACATCAGTGGAGTCTGCTGCTACACCTGCCCCAGAAGGGGAGCTTAGGACACGCAGACCTACCTTTGTCTTGTTCAGCAGCGTAGAAAGGGCATTTACGCATGTCTCCTTTCCCATCGTGTACAGGGAACCCATCCTTCAAGGTCTCTGTGGCCAGCATGGAGCGGGCCTGGTCCAGTTCGTTGAATATCTGCAGAAGCAGAGGACCAACTGAGCCATCTTTGGGCTGCCCACACTTTCTTTTGTTTAATTTATTTTGAGATGAAGTCTCTGTTGCCCAGGCTGGAGTGCAGTGGTGTGAACATGGCTAACTCACTACAGCCTCAAATTCCTAGGCTCAAGTGGTCCTCCCACCTTAGCCTCCCAAGTAACTGGGACTACCTGTGTGTAGCACCATACCTGGATAATTTTTAAATCTTTTTATGGAGATGATGTCTCACCCTGTTGCCCAGGCTAGTCTTCAATTCCTGGGGTTAAGTAATCCCCGTGACTTGGCCTCTCAAAGTGCTGGGATTACCGTCATGAGCCACTGCATCTGGCCACACTCTGCTTTTAGAGGACTCCCTCCTGATAGAGTGGGCTGGAGCAGGTGAGCTTGTTTAGGAGTGCCAACTACACAGCTAGCAGCCCTAGTGGTCAGCAGCTACACTGCCTGATGCTCCTCCCTAGCACGAGCTCTTGGGAAGTGTGGATGCTGGTACCCCAAGAAGGCGGCTTCCAACTACTGGGTCTCCCTTAGGAACTGACCAGACATGCTCCATGCCTTGCCTTCTCTGAGGTGGCTCAAGCCACTGAAACTACCACAGGACAGATAGGTGAGGGCATGAGTATGTCCCATTTCTTGCTGCTGGTTATTTTTTAGCAGGAAGCAACAGAAAAACTGGAAAGCGGGAGACTAATGCTGTGGCAGGGCAGACCCATCCTCAGTGGCCCTGGAAGGCCTCACTGGAAGCTGACAGGATCTGGGGCCAGAGTAAGTCTCCCCAGTCTCAGCCTCATTGAAAGGCTACTTGTAAACAGAGCTTACTTACTCTCCTTGGTGACACTGGCTCTCTCTGAACTTACCAAACAGGGCTTTTCAGAGCAAAGCTTACTAAAAAGAAAATTATCCATTCTTCAAGACCAGTATCCTGCAATTATGGTCTTGAAATGAATCCAAAAATGGAGCCAGCTCCATTCTCCCAGACTCCTCGCCACGTGCTGGAGGACTCACCCTTCCCAAAACATTACCCACTGGCATCTACCAAACCAGGCCTTCATGCTGGAACCACCCACTGGGCCCATGAGCTCTGGTGGCCACCTTCCTCTTGGCACCCTGCAGATCATCTGTACTAATGCCACATGTACTCTCCAAGGCCACTCTGGATCTGCTACCACTATCAAAGGTTCCCTCTTCAGCCCTGGCATCTGGCAGCCCCAATAGTACCTGCATGTTGTACTCAAAGGCCTTGTTGGCCTCCTCCACGATCCTCTCTTTGGTCTTCATGTTCAGGTCCAGGGTATTCATCCTGGCCCGGTAGAGCTGCTTGAACTGCTGTGCATTGTCCACATTCTCAAACAGGTAGAACTGGGTCCCTTCCCCAGTGCTGGGGAGTTTCAGTGCACGCTGGGCCACCTTCTTCAGCACCTGGCCCCCCGAGAGGTCCCCCATGTAGCGGGTATACGCATGGGCCACCAGTAGCTCTGGCTCGTTCTGCCCTATATAGCGGATCCGCTCCACGTACTTTTGGGCAGCCTCGGAGCACTGCACCTGCTCCTCCCAGTTTTCACCAAAGAAATACCCCATGTCCTTGGTCAGTGCCTCCTTCCGGTGCAGCTCCGTGGGAAAGTACAAGGGGGCAAAGGCTGGGTGGTCCTTGTTGCGTTCCATTTCCTCCTCGAGGGCTGAGTATGTGAAGTAAAGTGCAGTGGTGGCCAGCTGTGGAAGTGACAGGAGGAGGCTGGCAATGCCTGAGCCTACCACATCCCAGCAGCTGGATGCAGAGGCTCAAGTGCAACCCCAAAGACCCAACCCTATGGCCCATTTTTTGTAGTTAATTATTTAACACACAAATAAGTTTTTGTGTTTCTTAAAGGAATCTGTTCCTTTCTTAAAGGAACATGCATACTTTTGCTTCCTTGACACCACTATGTTATTCCATCTAAACCATGAGAGCCACAGCTTTTTTTTTTTTTGCCCGCGGGGGACAGCGTCTTACTCTGTCGCCCACGCTGGAGTGCAGTGGCACAATCTCGGCTTACTGAAACCTCTGCCTCCTGGGTTCAAGCGATTCTCCTACCTCAGCCTCCCAAGTAGCTGGGACTACAAGTGCGTGCCTCTACTTATTTTTTTATTCTTAGTAGAGATGGGCTTTCCCCATGTTGGCCAGGCTGGTCTCAAACTCCTGACCGCAGGTGATCCACCCGCCTCAACCTCCCAAAGTGCTGGGATTACAGGCATGAGCCACCATATTCAGCCGAGAGCCACAGCTTAACGTCAAGAAAGAATGGAGTATGGAGAAAAGTCCAGCTTTTCCCTCAGAGTGGCTCCAGGGGCACCTTTCTCATGGGACTAAATCCCTCACCCCAACCCCATACAACAGTCTGGAACCCAATGCAGGGCACAAACCTTAAACAGCTCCTTCTTAATGTTGCCCTTCAAGAAGTCCTTGACAAATTGGGTGTTTTCTGCCCGGTCGTGTGCTTCCCTGGTCCCTTCTTTCAGGAGCTCGGAGAGGTCGACCATTCTGTGGAGAGATGGGAGGTATTTGTGTGTCAATTAGCCCTTCCCAGCTCCCCAGAAAGGACCACAGGAGGAAGATTGAGTCTAGACCCCAGGGTGACCACCTGTTGTACTGGAGGCTGGGGCTGCTCAGACACTTCACTCCAACATGAACAGCAGGGACTTGTCAGGGAACGCAGGGAAAGCAGACATTGACAGTCGGCTCCAAGGACTCAGGACACAAGGGATGACTGTGGCCTACTCCTTAAGATAGTACCCATATCTATGTGTCTGTGTTGGGAACCACCCCAAAGAGCAATGCTTTGCTTCTATTGCCACCTAGTGGCCGAAGAGACACACATCTGTACTCCCATCGGCGTTTGCTGGCTTCTCCAGGAACAGCCTGCCTTGGATGTGTCTCCTAGAATCCACACACCTCAGTAAGGCTGTGACTGTGGGTCTCCTGGGGCGGCCCTGCTGCCTTCCTCCCACCTTGGACCTACAGCCTCTTTGGGACTATACATGACTAGGCCCAAGCACGGAGGGATGAAAGGGAGACAACAGAGAGGCTGGGGCCAGGACCTTAGGTTTGTGCCACTTAATGAAATTACACAGGATAAAGGTGTGCTGGTGGATGGACAAGGTAGAAAACATGTGATCCTAAAGATGGTGGCACCTGGGCAGGGTCTTAGATGTGTCCACACAGTCTGTCTAAAAGAGTGAGAAAAATTCGGCCTTACCATGGTCTGTCCTCTGCTGGCTTCTTTGGGAGATTAGCTTGGTATCTCCCATAAACTGAGAAACAGTTTATTATTAGCAATTATTTCAAGGGATAAAAAAACAAACTTGGACAATGATAGGGCTATAATGAGAGGTTAATGATGCAGAATAGGGCCTGGTAGCTCAGGTTTAGCATGAGCTGTCCCTATACAGAGTAAGGAAAGCTGTCCTGCAGTCAGAGTTACCCCAACATTTTATGGGGTAAAAGACTGTGAACAGAGCCAGCTTTGCCTCTGTTTACCCTTTCTCAACCCAGATGAGAAAACACTTATGTTTCTAAGAAGAAAAAAGGATGACGACCATCAAATCCTATCAGCACTCCCAGCAGCACCTGTCCTGCCTCCTTGGATGAGACAATGGACCAGTGGGGAGAGTCTTAAGCAGCTGAAGCTGTATGCTGTCCCTGCAGGGCCAAGCAGGTACCAAGGGGTCCACATGTCATTGGCCCATAGCCACTCCCCAGTGCTGCCAGCAGACGAAACCAGGTGTGCCGAGCACAGTAGGCGTTGGGCACACCCGACTCAGTGCAGCCAGCCCCCATGGCTCACCTGGTGTGGTTCTCCTTTTCTAAGGCCCCAGGGTTCTTCTCTGACTCGTCTACCCCCTCTGAGGTCTCCACTTCCACAGACATTGCTGCTGGCTGTGGTTCTTGCTGCTATCGCTCCTCTGGTCCTGTAGAGACACAAGGAGCTGGTGATGTGGCACCCACGGCAGTAACTTCCCCAAATACCTGCCAGTTCTGCTCTCTGTGGAGCCAATGTAACCAAGGTGACACCCACACACCCCAGAATTGTTTTCTTTAAAGTTCTGCCATTACTGAGACCATAGTGGAATATGGAAAAAAATCTGAATATGAACAATGTATTAGGTAATAACATTGTATTGACATTAAGTTTGCTGTTTTTTTTTTAAATAACTGTACTGTGATTATGTAAGAGAATGTTCCTAAGAAATACACACTGGGTTATTCAGAAGTACAGGTACGCTGCCTGCAACTCCCCATCAGATGGTTCAGAAGAGTGTGTGTGCACGTGCATAAGCTACAGGGCGGGGGACGCTGGCAAGTCAGAAAAGCAAACATGGGAAAATGCTAGCAGTGAATCTGGGGAAAACATATGAGAGTTCTTTGTACTATTCTTACCATTTTTCTGTATACTTAAAACTGTATCAAGGCTGGGCGTGGTGGTTCACACTGTAATCATAACACTTTGGGAGGCCGAGGTGGACTGCAGTTCAAGATCAGCCTGGTCAACATGGTGAAACCCTGTCTCTACTAAAATTTCAAAAAATAGCCATGCATAGTAGTGTGCGCCTGTAATTCCAGCTACTTGGGAGACTAAGGCAGGAGAATCGCTTGAGCCCAGGAGGACACTGCACTGAGCCGAGATCGAGCCACTCTACTCCATCCTGGGCAATAAGAGTGAAACTCCTCCTCAAAAAAACAAAAAGAACAACTGTATCAAAAATTACCAAAAACAAAACCTCAAAAAGCTTAGGGGTAAAAAAAGCTTAGCAAGTAACACACAGTTCCACCCCTCTGCAAGGGTGCTGAGGCCAGCTTATCCTACCTGTGAGAGTCTGGGTGCCTTGTGCAGACAGTCTGCAGGAGTTACCAAAAAAGCAGACTGTCCTTAGCCTACTCAAGACTTTGCTAAGGTGAAAGAAATAATAAATTGGTCAATCAGTTCCCATGGCCCGCTGCAAGGGCTGAGCCTTCGTCAGCCAGGGAAACAGTCCTGTAACAAGGCAAGCCGATCCTCCATCCCTGGGGGCTTCTGCTCAGGCAATGTTAGGAAGGCACAGCCCATCTGGGAAAACTTCCACATGCATAGCAGCACAGTAGCACCAACAACTAATAAAGTAACTCACAAAGACAGAACTACCAACACTGGGGACAAATCAAACCAAACTGGGCCAAGGAAAAATAACTTAGTTACTGAGCATTTTCTATGTGCTCTACCCAGAAACAACAGGTGTCAAGAGGAACAAAGAAATGTAAGAAATGGTCCTTGAAAGGCTCAAGGTACATATCCTTCCTAAGTTTCCTCTAGAGCTAGTAACATTTTTGTTGTTATCTTTTAGGATATTATATAGCACACGGTTTACTCATTGTGGTCTTTTTGAACCATCTCTCTCATCTTTAGATTTAGCATCTGTACTGGGATTATTTTAGGAAGTCAAGCGATAATTCATATAGCACAATGCCTGCCATGTGGTGAGCACTCAGTGAACGTTACACCATGATTATACTTCATTTTGACTGAGGCTTAGTGATGTCTGAGAACACTCAGAAAATAAACATCAGGATGTAAAGAAAAATGGAACTTTCTCTTGACTCCAAATCAGAGATAGTCTCCTCTGAAATAACGCTGATGAACTGTATGGTGCACAGCACAGTCTAGAAGAATGTGAAAGCGGCAGGTATCATATGGAGGGAACAGTATGCAGCGGGCTTCCTGGGGAAGGACCCTCAACACAGACAGAATTTGGGGCAGGGATTGGGGAGGGGCTCTAGATCTAGGGAATAATATGAACAAAGCCAGAAACGGGCAGTTCACAGATATAGTATAAGGCTGCCCAGCTGCACATGCACTTACCAAGAGGCCAAGACAGGCTTTGTAAGCTGCAGAAGAAGCCCTACATGGCCTTCAGATCTTGAGTTATATTTTTTTTTTTTGTAAAAGAACAGCTTTAGTGGCTCACGCCTGTAATCCTAGCATTTGGGGAGGCTGAGGCAGGCAAATCACCTGAAGTCAGGGGTTTGAGACCATTCTGGCCAACATGGTGAAACCCTATCTCTACTAAAACTACAAAAATTAGCCAGGTGTGGTGGCGCACACCTGTAATCCTAGCTACTCAGAAGGCTGAGGCAGGAGAACTGCTTGAGCCTGAGAGATGGAGGTTGCAGTGAGCCAAGATCGTGCCACTGCACTGCAGCCTGGCCGAAAAGAGCAAGACTGTCTCAAAAAATATATTTTTTAAATTAAATTAAAAATAAATAAATACAGGCCAGGCTCGGTGGCTCACACCTGTAATCCCAGCACTTTGGGAGGCCAAGGCAGGTGGACCACCTGAGGTCAGGAGTTCGAGACCAGCCTGACCAACATGGTGAAACCCCGCCTCTACTAAAAAATAAATAAATAAATAAATAATAAGAACAGTTTTGCTGTACACCCTTGAGGACCTTAAGATCGAAAATTACTTTCTGGCTGCTTAATTCTCAGGGAGCAGAGAAAAAGGTGCTGGGAAGAAAGCACTGAGCTGTCTAAAGGCGGAAGAGGTGCAGTAAAGGGTCCCAGAGCCTCTAGACAGTGATGGAAGCAAAGGACCAGGCTGAGGGCACACCCCAGGTACCTGAAGACCGCAGGCCCCATGCTCCTTACAAGCAAAATGAGGCAAAGACAAGTGCAATTCATGGCCCAGGTTACCAGTACCTTGAGTATGCATCCTGCCATTTGCATCTAATGATCGTGCTGCACAACAGTGATTGGGAATCTGATTAAATCTCATTAACTGTGTTTTACTCAATAATAACTGCATGGTCTGGGAGAGTGTAGTCTTGCTTAATTAAGCAACAAATCCTTTTGCTTCTCTTAAAAATACAAAAAGGTGCTGGGCACAGTGGCTCACACCTGTAATCTCAGCATTTTGGGAGGCCCAGGTGGGTGGATCACCTGAGGTCAGGAGTTCGAGACCAGCCTGGCCAACATGGTGAAAGCCCCTCTCTACTAAAAATACACAAATTATCCAGGCATGGTGACAGGTGCCTATAATCCCAGCTATTCAGGAGGCTGAGGCAGGAAAATTGCTTGAACCCCGGAGGCAGTGATATTGCAGTGAGCCAAGATCACGCCATTGCACTCCCATGGGTAACAGAGCAATACTTCATCTAAAAAAAACAAATGGCTGGGGGCAGTGGTTCATGCCTGTAATCCCAGCACTTGGGAGGCTGAGGCGGCTGGATCACCTGAGGTCAGGAGTTTGAAACCAGCCTGGCCAACAAGGTGAAACCCCATCTCTATTAAAAATACAAAAATTAGCCAGGTGTGGTGGCTTGTGCCCATAATCCCAGCTACTCAGGAGGCTGAGGCAGGAGAATCACTTGAACCCAGGAGACAGAGGTTGCAGTGAGCCAAGATCGAGCCACTGGACTCTAGCCTGGGTGACAGAGCGAGACTGTCTCAAAACAAAACAAACAAACAAACAAAAAAAGGCAGAGCCAAGATCGTGCCACTGCATTTCAACTTGGGAGACAGAGCAACACTCTGTTTCAAAAAAAAAAATTAAAAATACAAAAAGGGAAGAGAAAGCTGCTTCCTCTGGTACCCACTTGGGCATTTTCTCAGCAGCACTTTACTTGTGTTATCTCTCTTTGGGCACACCCAGTTTAACCTCACTCCTGTCTTCCCAGCCCACGGGAAACCAAACTCTGGACTAAAGCTGTCTTTTCTACTGCTATAGCTTCGGGTCTAAAAAATACTAGATTCTCAATAAATACTTGTTGAATAAAAACATCCAACAGAGAGAGAGAAAAAAAACAGGGTTGTGGTGACAGGAAGGAAGGAGAATATCTCGTGCATGATGCCAATAATATGCAATTTTTTAAAAACAGGAAAAAGTAATCTGGTGTCCATGACTTCAACAGTTTTCTGATTTTAATTTGAAGGAAAGCTAACAAGAAAAATTCTGAGTCCTCAAGGCGAGTAACCAGTACCATCTGTGCAGAGCTGGGGTCTGGGGACAGAGGAGGCTCCTGGGAAGGCTTGGTTAGCACATTCAACACAGGGGCCAGGGGAGGTGACCTGCATCCATCTCTGTGGCCTAGCCATCATTCAAGGGAGTGGCCACACAGTGAGTCATTCAGGCGCCACCCTGCAACGGCAGAAACAGAACTTTTTTCACTTTCTGAAAAGCTACATGTCCAGACTTAGTCTGGCTGACTTCTATACCAGAATGCTAAGCTTTGCAGGAACCACTGGAATCTCTAGAAAATTGGGGATCAAATCATAAATGTAGAACCTTTTTAGACTTCAATCTCTATTGTCAACAAGAAGCTACACATTCTCAACCTGCCCCCCTCCAAAAAAAAAGAAGAAAAAAATATCGTGGGAAATACACTTCAAGAAATAGTAATAGTTATCCTAATTGGTATCAAAGTAATACACAGCCATACTATGCTGCTAGGAAAAAAACTACACACAGCCTAAGAACAAAGGGCATGACTGCTCAAACGACAGTAAACAATGGAATCCTGGCACAGCCGGGACAAGTTGGTAGGCTGTGTTCATGCATGGAAAAGCCTACAGAAACTTTTTTTTTTTTAAAAAAGGACCCAAACACCCACTACAACTGTGTGCAAAATTTTACAAGTATACTGACAATGACAAATGGGAAATTTGGAGAACTATAAATACTGTTTTTTGTTGGACTTTTTAGCCAACTGGCTGCTTCTTTTATATAAAGTGACTCAATTCTCTTGGAAAGAAAAAGGGAAGAGGGAGGGAAAGGCAGGGAAAGGAAAAAAATAAACCAAGAGACAGGAATTGGACCAAGCAAACCAGCTAAGATCCTGCCTGCATTAACTAACTAGTCAATGGAAGTTCCTGGGGCGTCTTTACTTTTCTATTACAAATTCTAGAAAGGCCAATCTGCCCTCTCCTCTTTGCCATTTCCAAAAAACTTTGACCCTCTGTTTATAAAATCCACCTCCACTACTCCATAATTCCAATACCCCTAACTGTTTTCACCTGATCAGCTGCTGATTTTCATTCCATCCCTTGAGCAAACAGAAACAGTAACAAAGTTCCTATCACAGTTACATCCAGCAAAAGGGATTCCTTTAGACCAGCTGAGCAGATCCAGAACACTCTTAAAGCTTTTGCTCCTGTTAAATTGCTGGTACAAGGCACGACTAGGACTTCTGAGACCACAGACAAAGATGTTAAATCCTCCTCCATGGAGACTAAGTCCAACAAATTTCAGGTCAGGTAACTCAGTGCATTGCTGCCAGGTGGGAATATAATCTAAGGACTATATTATAATTCATTTCCCATCTGGTAATACAGAAAGGAACAATAAAGACTTCTTTGTCCTGGAGAAACCTCAAGTGAAGGAAGGGAGCAGACTGCTGAGCTCAGCCAGCACTCAGGGGAAGGAACAGCAGAGTGACCCCACTCTCTGGAATGAGAATAATTCTGCAGGCTTCTGACTCAATGAAATAGTGACACTTGCTGGGCACAGTGGCTCACGCCTGTAATCCCAGCACTTTGGGAGGCTGAGGCAGGTGGATCACGAGGTTAAGAGATCGAGACCATCCTGGTCAACAAGGTGAAGCCCCGTCTCTACTAAAAATACAAAAATTAGTTGGGCATGGTGGCACGCGCCTGTAGTCCCAGCTACTCGGGAGACTGAGGCAGGAGAATTGCTTGAACTCAGAAGGCGGAGGTGCGGTGAGTCGAGATCACACCATTGCACTCCAGTCTGGGTAACAACAGCGAAACTCCATCTCAAAAAAAAAAAAAAAAAGAAATAGTGACACTTGACAGTGACCAGCTACTGCACTTCATGAGATGCCCACAACATGAACTTGGGTTGTTATCCCACATGCACAGGGAAGCTAAGTGGCTGCTTAGAGACTTTTTTTTTTTAAGATATTTCTGAACATCTCTTTCTTGATGTTCAGAGACTTCTGCACTGGGACTCTGCCAATGCTCCCTCATTCCTGAACACCTTGCAGCTGACCATCAGGATTCCTACCATGGCCCTGGCTGAGGGCCCCTTGCCTGTTTCCTAGAAGGCTGTGTGTAGCTCAGAGCTCACTCTTGTATAGAATTGACACCATATTAATATGAGGTGATTACTCTTCAGCTTCCACAACTAACTGTCATCCTGTTTTCCCAGTTAAACCAAAAGCTTCCTACAAGAGAGATCAAGATTCCCTCAGATTCAGATGAGGGTCTAATATGGCTTAAAGCCTAGCATCCTTGGGAGGGTCCAACCTAAGTTACAGCTATTGCAAATACACAGATGGAATTCCTACGGAAAAAGCCAGTTAAATGAAGGATTTGTGTAACAAGAAAACAGTTAAATTCTAAAATACCAAGTAAAGAAATACAGATTTTTAATTGGGTCCTATGTCTCTAAATTAACTGTATGAAATCTGTTTTGTACTTCTCTTCAGATCTGACTTGACTCTTTTTAACTCACAATTATATTTATGGGGTACAATGTGACGTTTTTACACATGTATACATTGGGGAATAATCAAATTGGGTTATTAATATACCCATCAGCTCATATCATTTGTTTGTGGTGATAACATTTAAAATCCACTCTTTTAGCAATTTTTAAATATACAATACTATTATATATTAACTATATATATATATATATATATATTTTTTTTTTTTTTTTTTTTTTTTTTGAGATGGAGTTTCGCTCTTGTTACCCAGGCTGGAGTGCAATGGCGTGATCTCGGCTCACCGCAACCTCCGTCTCCTGGGTTCAGGCAATTCTCCTACCTCAGCCTCATGAGTAGCTGGGATTACAGGCACGTGCCACCATGCCCAGCTAATTTTTTGTATTTTTAGTAGAGATGAGGTTTCACCATGTTGACCAGGATGGTCTCGATCTCTTGACCTCGTGATCCACCTGCCTTGGCCTCCCAAAGTACTGGGATTACAGGCGTGAGCCACCACACCCAGCCTATATATTAACTATATTAACTATAGTCACTATGCTGTAAAACAGATCATCACACCTTATTTCTCCTAACTAAAATCTTGTACCCTTTGACCAACATCTCTCCTTTCCACACCCACCTTTACCTTGCCCCAACCTCTGGTAACCAACATTTTACACCCTCCTACGACTTCGACTTTTTCAGATTTCACATATAAGTGATATAATGCACCATTTGTCTGTCTTTCTTTGGCTTATTTCACTTAGCATAATGTCCTCTAGATGCATCCATGTAGTCGCAAATGACAGAATTTCCTTCTTATTTATGGCTGAGTAGTATTCCATTATGCATTAATACTAGCTTTTAAAAATCCATTAATCCACTGTGTGCTGTGAAGACTAATTGGGCTAGTATGTATGAATGTCTGATGAAATGCAGCACCACCTCAAATACTGAGCTCTTCCTGAGGAAGTTGGTCAGAATGAACAACTGGGTGATTGTTAAACACTAAGGAAGAACAAGAAATCCAGCAAATTCACAGATAGTTCTGGGCAGGTCACACCTGAGGACTTCTGACTCAGACCTCATTCTCCAGCAGCGTCAGGAAATAGAAATATCTGCCCTTTCCAACATGATCCATGTGACTACTGCAGGCTAGAATAGCCACATTGCAGATGCCACTAGAGACTGGCTGAGCCACGTGTTTGGGGCAGCAGACAGAGCTGAATCAATTCTTATCCAATAAGGCACTAGATAAAAGAGGCTTCTGAACACCCTGAAGAAGCCACATCATCTAGGACCATGGCTTCTGAGTTTATAGAATGAATGGCCTGAGGTCTCCTCTGAACTCTGGTACTGCCACTCCTCAGGAAATCTTACACATAAGCCCTTTCATTTCAATCACTGGGGGCATTCAATTGCACAGTTCACTGAATGGATTAATAACTACTAACTTCTTGATAAAAGACCAAATCCAGGCCAGGCGCGGTGGCTCAAGCCTGTAATCCCAGCACTTTGGGAGGCCGAGGCAGGTGGATCACGAGGTCAAGAGATCGAGACCAACCTGGTCAACATGGTGAAACCCCGTCTCTACTAAAAATACAAAAAATTAGCTGGGCATGGTGGCACGTGCCTGTAATCCCAGCTACTCAGGAGGCTGAAGCAGGAGAATTGCCTGAACCCAGGAGGCGGAGGTTGCGGTGAGCCGAGATTGCACCATTGCACTCCAGCCTGGGTAACAAGAGCGAAACTCTGTCTCAGAAAAAAAAAAAAAAAGACCAAATCCAGGCTGGGTGTGGTGGCTCACACCTGTAATTCCAGCACTTTGGGAGGCCACAGTGGGAGGATCACCTAGGAATTCAAGACTAGCCCGGCCAGCACAGCCAGACCTCATCTCTATGAAAAATAAAATAATTAGCCAGGTGTAATGACACATGCCTGTAGTCCCAACCACTCAGGAAACTGAGGCAGGAGGATCCTTTGACCCCAGGAGTTCAAGTCTGCAGTGAGCTATGATCACACCATTGCACTCCAGCCTGGCGAGGGAGTGAGACTCAAAAAAAAAACAAAACAAAACAAAACAAAACAGCAAGACTTGAGTCCAGTTGGGTGTGATGGCTCACGCCTGTAATCCCAGCCCTTTAGGAGGCCAAGGTGGGTAGATCACTTAAGGTCAGGAGTTCAAGACCAGCCTGGCCAACATGGTGAAACCCCATCTCTACTAAAAATATAAAGCTGTGCCACTGCACTCCAGCCTGGCGACAGAGCGAGATTCCATCTCAAAAAAAAAAAAAAAAAATTAGCCAGGTGTGGTGATGGGTGCCTGTAGGTCCCAGCTACTTGGGAGGCTGAGGCATGAGAATCTTATGAACCCAGGAGGTGGACGTTGCAGTGAGCCTATAGTGCCATTACACTCCAGCCTGGGTGAGAGAGTGAGACTGTCTCAATTAAAAAAAAAAAAAAAGAAGACGTGAATCTTGGAAAAGTGGGAACTCTGGGGACACAAAGCACTTGACTCAGATTTACTAAATAAGCACTTGTACGTTTGGGCAAGAAGGGAGGACAAAGCAAAACAACTGAAAACTAATCTAAAGGCGTTAGCCTCTTAAGTAACCTCAAAAACTGACAACAGACCAGATGCGGAAGCTCAAGCCTGTAATCTCTGCACTTTGGAACGCTGAGGCAGAGAATC